TGAGGCTTGTTATGGCACTTTTGGTTTCAAGTGGAAGGGTGATTACAAGCTAAGGGGAGGATTCAGAAAAAGTACCACCATGCAGGCAACGCTGGGGCTTCATGAATTCCATGTACATGGTGTTTTCCACATGCCCGGGCCAATGTAGCTGTCTTGCAGAACAATCTAACGCTTCACGATGGACTCATTATGGTATACCCTTAAACAGCCCAATGTATACGTAGCCATGTATATATATGTGTAGACTTTATTTTGGGGCACTATACTATAGGCTATAGCTATACAATTAGACATGGAGCCTAGCTATAGGGTATACATTATAAGGGCTCATTTCAGCATTATCATGACATTAAGGAGTTTCCCCCAGCCTCCATCAAGCGGAAAATGCATCACTTCGCGGTATTGTCGGCATCATCAGGCATCTTGTCCTCATAGGTTTGGGAAGGCAGAGGCTAAGGCATCGTGCGGACGATTGCAAGTTCAGAAGTGTCCGACATCTAATTGTAGTGCAAGGGGCCCATTTTGCAAGAATCCTGGCAATCCTGTAACTCTCGCTCCAACCTCCCCGCTTCTTCACAGAGATCGTTGCCCCGTCTTTTTTGTTGGGCGACACCCCAGCATAGGACATGCCCTGGCAGCCAGCCACGTAGAGCTGATTGTCGTGCCACCTGATCATGTACAGAAGCGTTATCCAAATTAGCCCCGCGCAACTAGCTCTATAGCACTCCATCCCATAATCATCATCGAGACACAAGACTCCGATGGAGGCACTGCTCTGGCTGGCTGGCGCATACTCCGAGGCTGCAAGGGTGTAGGATTTGCGATTTCCAGTGAAGTCTGGCGGTGTCGGGATGCCAGCAGCCACGATTTCCTTGACCTGCAGCGCGGGTAGGTTAAAGGTTGAGTCAGTGAAACTCTTTCATATTAGTCAAGTAGCCTTGATTGTCCAAAGTTCTTGAAGCTCGTTCACCTTCTGGTTCTCATGCTTCTTGGGGGCCTCTGGCTCCGCTTTGTCTTGCTGCATGGCTGCAGGGCCCTGGTCCTCCTCAACATTGGCCTCATTATTCTTGATCTCCTTAGCACCTCTGCCCCGTCCACTGCCACGACCCCGGCCCCGCTTGCCTTTACCCTTGCCATCCGTGTAGGCTGCCAGCTTTGCTGCCTCCTTCACCTGCCCAGCTAGTTTGGGAAATAGTTCCAATCAATATTCGAATTCAACCACACTAGCCCTAAGCCCCCAATCACCTTGAGGATGTAGTAGTTGTATATACGATACCTTGATCAATTACAGCCCTGAAACCCTAAGCCTCCAATCAACTGTAGGATGTACAAGAAGCAGTTCTATATACCCGACCATAAACCTGAAACCCTGTAGCCCCCAATCACTTTTAGGGATTAATGGTGAAGGCACACCTTCCGTTGCTGCTCCAGGAGGTTCTCATCCGGGAAGTCACCAAGTTGCTTAGCAAGGCCGGCTGGCAGTTCGCTGATCTGGGGCTGCACGGCTTGGATAGGCGGTCGCATAGCCTAGACCAGAGCAATCAAATACTGACATGTTTTGAATTCTTCCTGGGCAATACTGGCATGATTCAAGAATGCCTTCTCCGCTTGTCGATTCGTGACAGGCTTGTTGTTCTCAATCTGGGGGCCATCCCAAAAATCAAGCTGTGTCTCCATCTCATTGACATTCGCGGGTGTTGTGACCTAGAAGTGCTATTGGGCAGGGCTGGCATTAACGCATAGTACATGCATGTTAATGCTTGCAGCTGCACAAGCGAAGGAGCGGCCTTGATCACGGGTGACTCCTGAGATGTTGATTCAAGTCGAACACATGAGCTGTTTACAGGCTTGCAACTGTGGTGCTGTGGGCATAGGAGCAGCCTTGATCGTGAGTGACTCCTTGGGATGTTGATTCAAGACCTCTAGAGTGGGAAGGAAAACAATAACCAAAAGAGTTTTGCAACTGTGGTGCTGCGGGCTTGGGAGCAGCCTTGATCACGAGTGACTCCTAGGACAATTATTTTGCAAGACGCCTGGAGAATCGAAAGCAAGAACACTGTGTAGAATCTTGCAGCTCTGGAACTGCGGGCATGGGAGCAGTCTTGATCGCGGCTGACTCCTAAGATTATAATGCTTTAAGTGTTCTGTTGCCAAACCGGTACACGTAGAATCTTGCAGCTGTGCTGCTGTGGGCTTCAGGGCAGGCTTGAGCACGTATGAGTCCTAGCATTGTTCATCATGACTGAAGTGTATCCACCAACTTTACACCCAAAGCCTCCTCTTGATCTGTCAGCTTGGGCTCCCCATCCAGCCCATCTACGTCCATATCGGAGGCCGGCACTGAATCCGTAGGAGAATCTGCCTCCTGATCAAGCTTGGTCTAGAAGTACATGTAGGAAGCTGAAGGCTGAAACCCAATTGGCAAGCCTGTTGCTGCATCGCCGCCTGCAACCCTTCGTCCAGGATCGCATCCACATCACCGCTTCCTTCGCGATGAGCTGGCTGCATGCTATCTCTAGCTAGACCCTATCCTACCCAAAGGCCAAAATCTTTGAAAGTACTCCTCGGAAGAAACCCCAAAGGCTCCAAGCATTCCAGTTCCCAAGCTTAAAAGTGTGGGGAATAATTATAATAAGTAGCTACATAACCCTAAACCCTAAACCCTATATATATAATATATTCAGGCGTCTTCAATTCTAGGGGACTATATTGCTCATGCCCGGAATCTAAACCCGAATAAACCTAGACCCGGCCCCCTATACCCTGAAAGAGACAATCCGCAGAAGCTGATCCAAAAGTCCTCGACCACATTCGCCCTTGAAATTCTTGGCCCTATAATTATCCTTGAAGTATTTGGGCTGAATGCCTGCACGGTGCCTTGCAGACTTGAAATGCTGCTGCCCAAGGAGATCTCGCTAATATATGTTGAGGAGTAGGATATGGGAGAATGGTAGCCCTAAAACCTAAGCCCATATACGTGTATCAAAGGATTCCGTACTGGTCAAAGTGCTTGCTC